TGATACCCGAACTGATAATGTTTGTACTTAAAGCTATTTTGATTATGGTAATGTAAATTTATAAAGCTTTAAAAACAGGTTTAGGTTGAATAAATTTAAGCTAGAATTGGATTATTTTAAATAAAATATGTTACTTAAGGGAAAAAGAGAGGGAATATTTGATGTATTGATTGAATTATGTGTATGTTTGACCACCCTAACACCACGGTGTTATCTTGAGTACTTTGTTTTAAAAATCAAAAAACTAATAAAACGTGTCTTTAAAAAAAAGAATATGAAATATTTATAAACCAAAGCTATGTGCAAAGATATTATTAATGATATTCTTACAAGAAGTGTTTTATCAAAGAGAAACATGAAGACTTATTAATACAAGAGAAGCGAGAAATGAAGATGAAGATGAAGAGAGCAATTAGCAACCGAAGGATTTTCCTTCCATTAGTTTTCTTATAATAAGATGAAATACAGGTTTAATATGGACAAACGGACATTAGAATTGAGAAGAAGAAAGCTGAATTTGAAATAGATACAAATGATATGAATATGTGCATGTAGGAGAAAATGTAGCAAACTAGTATTAAGTTTACACTGTGTTATAATTTAAAAGATATTTTTATTAAATATTGATGCTATATGATACTGGCTAAATTGTCTTAAATGTTTCAAGGAATATCAAACCAATGTTGGGAGAATGAAAAGTAAGAGGTTTTTTTTTTTATTAGAAATGATGGACTTGTGAAAAAGCAAAATAAATCTTTGAGATAGAAACAAGCTGTTTACTGGTCAACCGGTTCTTGACTGATTTTTCTCTCTGTCATTACTCAGGGTCAAAGCCAGCTTGCTGTAAATGTTTCCTTAGAAGGGCACTTTATATAGTTCATATTCACCTCATCTCATAGGTTTGGTAGTGAATGAAGCTTACCTGTATAGGTGTGTGAGGGGTTTACCTTTTACCACTGTACCATGTACATAACTACTTTGAGTCAACTCATGAAAAGGAAACCTATAGGATTTGCAATTTTGTATTAAGTTACAAACAAGTTAAGCAAATCCCTGAAGATTTTGTAGCAAGATTTCAAGTGGGTTGCCATTGTCTTTCCTAGAGCTGAGAGAGAGTAACAGGCCCAGGACTAGAATTCAGGGTTTCCCAATTTCTAACTTGATGCCTTAACCATTTCACCAAACTGGGTCTCAGTTATGATGGGGTGACCAAATATAAAAACTAGCAATAATTAAATGGTTTGAAAAATATAAAAATTTAAACAGTAACTTGAGTCATTTTTGTCGGTCCCAACAAAAGTATTTTCCAAATGTTGACTTAGGATGTTTTTCATGCACAAATTTAATTATCCAATAGAATAATATTTAATATAAAATATCCTCTGTCTATCTCCTGACTAATTTTTCCCAAGTCAAAATCAAAATTTGATAGCTCTTATGTTTTTAGGAAAAGAAACCTTTCACAACTGTAGAGGATACTAAATATAATCAACACACTTCAATTTTAAAGTCCATAGATTTGGTGAGGGTGTAATCTCCAATGTCAGGCTGAATCTTTACTACAAGAGATGGGTGTACTACTTACTACTCACTACTTTCAAAATTCCATTTCCTCTTACGTGTCTGGAATTTTGCAATATCTGAACTGATATACAAGTTTAAGAACTCCTATTACTGAGAATTCTTTGGTTGGATTCTGATTGTACTAAATAAATATATACATCTTATAAGAAAAACTGATCAATAAGAATGAAAATTTAGCATGATGGTAGGAATTTCAAGATGATAAAAATGCAAGGAAAACTTTCAATAAATGAATCATTTATTGATATACTCCAAGAAAGAAGCCAAAAAGTTTTTTCATTATCTTGGAGATGACCTTCATCTAATTTGGTGAACAGTTACTCAGACTCTAGAGTTGTATCCAGAGGAACAGAGAACTGAGAAAAAGTGAAGAAATAGGAACCCTCAGAAGCATGTCCTACCTGGGGAATCTTGTAGATCTCCAAGAGAATCCTCATACCAAGAGAAGTTAGGGAATCCAATCCACCAATCACTGCAATCAGCTTCTTCTCCATGTTGCAACTATAGTTTAGAAAAAAAATTCTCCAACTTTTTCAGCATGATGGAATGATAGGTCCATTTTCCACTATAATAATTGTCAAAAATTTGGAATCCCAAAGTGATATTGGGAAGTATTTGAGGATTGTCATTAATCTTCTTTACTGCAAAGGCCAAAGCCCGGATATGTTGATAATACTTTTACTGCTTAGGGGAACACTAAATATAATCTGGTTACTGGCAACACACTTCAATTTTTAAAGTCTGCAGATTTAGTGAGGGTGTCATCGTCAGCTTCAGGCTGAATATAAACTATAAGATTTGGATCCACAACTTAAATCTCTACTTTTGAAATTCTATTTCTTGTTACCCCTTGAGTATTTTGAAATATCTAGACTGATCAAAAAAGTTTGAGGATACCTATCTCTGAATTTATTTGGTGGATTTTTGAATATATATATATAATGAATATTTAGCATGAAGGCAGGAATTCTGAGAAGATGAAAATGCAAAGAAAACTTTTGGTAAATCAAACACTTATTGGTATACTCCAAGTGAGAAACTAAAGAACTTTTCCTTATCTTAAAGATCACTTTATCTAATCTCATAAACAGTATATCAATAAATGAACTCAGACTGCAAAGCGGAATAGAGAAAAGGTGAAGAAATGTGAACCCTCAGAAGCATTTCCTACCTGGGGAATCTTGTAGATCTCCAGGAGAATCCTCATACCAAGAGAAGTTAGGGAATCCAATCCACCAATCACTGCAATCAGCTTCTTCTCCATGTTGCAACTATAGTTTGGGAAAAAAATCTCCAATGTATATATAAGCAGCATGGTGGAATGATAGGTCCATTTTCCACTATAGTAATTGTCAAAAATTTCAAATCCCAAAGTGATATTGGGAAGTATTTGAGGATTGTCATTAATCTTCTTTACTGCAAAGGCCAAAGCCAGGATATGTTGATAATGTTTCGGAAGCATTCTGGAATGAATATTGTATTGTGCATCAAAGGAATAATTCATACATCCTAGTCAATATTTATTTTAGATTATGATTTACTACATCATATTTATATTATAGTATTTTATAATACTTACTACATCATGTTTTTAGGTACAACATTTAGCATAAAGTACCATATACCTATAATTTTACTGGAGATAATTATTTATAATTACTTTTCTAGCAGATACATTTTAAATAAGATTTAAGTATGGAAAAAAGATGAAAGAATGAAAAAATTCTTCACTTTAAGAAAATCTCTTTGATGCAATTATAGATTTAGCGAGGAGAGTAGTAAAATGAAATAAACTTACTGAATCTAATATATTCTACCATCTATGTAGGAAAACAACAGATCTGTTTGAAATAAGAGCAACTGAAAATGATAGCAAAATGAATAAAACAAGAAGCTGCAAAAGTATCATAAGAGAATTTCCTAGTAATCAGAAATCTCATCTACAATAGGCAATCCTCTTTAATAAAATTAGTACTTTATGTAAAATATTATTTGAATATATTTTTAAATCTTTATAAATGATACCACAAACTAATTACAGACTCCTTTTGCCCAATAAAAATGCTAGAGAAGTAACATTTCTTAAAATTATATTTAGAAAAATTAAATATAGTGTTTGCACTAGGCAAAGGCTGCAGTCAATGCTATGTATACAAGTTAACAACTCTACATAAAGACCCCTGAATTTCATTATTACACTAGCATTGTTTCTGCAGTGTAAGATGGAACACCGGAATTCACTTCAAGGCCAGCCTAGTTAGAGTAACACATGAAAATGGATTCCTTACATAAACTCTTCACGCGTTGTGGGTGGAGGTTTTGTTCTGAAATCTTTGGCATAAGAGAAAAAAACCCCATGAGAGGCTATGCCGCCAATGATGAGGTCCCCAGCCTGATGATATGTGTGAACTGGGTGCTCCGGATACTGGATATCGCATTTCACAGTGGGAGCTCCATGCGGCATATATGACAAAAGGGTTAACAGCACTACTCCTATTACTGACATTCTAAGCTTAAATTAGGAAAATTCCTCCATGCAAATTTTCCTTTCTCTATCTAGCCATGGTCACTGGAATACTTTGTGAACTATTGTAGATGTTTCCAACGTCCTCTGATCAATTTAAATCTCTAAATACTATAATATTAGGGACGATATTAATACACGAATGCCTGTTTTTTATCCTTATCCCTCCTTCAAATACTAAAATAGACATTGTGTTTATGCCATAATTTACTGATGAAATAATCCACTAATTGCTGTTCATGACTGATAATACACTGCAGTGCCAGATCAGTTAATTGCAAACATATTATATGGAAAATAGAAGTGCTACCATTTCAAAGCTAGAATTCCTTATAGAATTGCTAAAGAAAACATGTTTGTCATGTCTGAACAATTTTTTTATTATATCCTCTTGAAAAAGAAGCCATTTTTTCCATTAATGATCCAAAAATAAATAAACGTAACAAAAATACAAGTAGTCCTCAACTTAAAACAGTTCATTTAGTGACTGTTCAAAGTTACAACAGCACTGAAAAAAGTCATTTAATGAGCATTTTTCACATTTACGACCGTTGAAGCATCCCCATGGTCACGTGATCAAAAATCAAATGCTTGGAAACTGGTTCATATTTATGATGGTTGCAGGGTCCGGTGGTCATGTGATCAGCTTTTGTGACCTTCTGACAAGCAAAATCAATGGAGAAGCCAGATTCACTTCACAATCATGTTACTAACTTAATAATTGCAGTGATTTATTTAACAACAGTGGCAAGAAAAGTCATAAAATGAGGTAAAACTCACTTAACAAATGTTTCACTTAGCAACATAAATGTTGAGCTCATCTGTGGTCGTATGTCGAGGACTACCTATATTAAGATTTGGATTTACAGCTGAAAATTAATGCATTTTATCACAGGAGCTCTCTGATTTCACATATGCTTTGCAGAAATCAAGAAAGTGAGATTTGGATTATCCTAAATTAATTTCTTGGAAAGTCTTCCAGACATGCATGCAACGTTCTCTTGTAATGAAATTTTTGAGACATTTCTCAAGAGGCAGCACTTGCCCTTTCCATTCTATCCCAATGTAATGGTAATCCCTCTAATTATAAAACCATAGAGCATTTGTATGTAATCCTCAAAGTTTAGAATATTGTTATACATTCTGGGATGGATTATTGCTCAATGGGGCTCCTCTTTTTGTCACATTTCACATCCAAATTTCCTCATTCCCATTAAACCTGGCTGAAATTTGATCCCTGTCTATCCTATCATTGTTATTCCCTCTGACACCTGTGGGAGAAAAAAATAATAGCAATAGCACTTAGACTTATATGCTGCTTCGTAGTGCTTTACAACACTCTCTAAGCAGTTTACAGAATCAGCATAGTATCCCCAAAAATCTGGGTCCTCGTTTTACTGATTTCGGAAGGATGGAATGCTGAGTTAACCTTGAGCCAGTCAGGATCAAACTCCTGACAGTGGGCAGAGTTAGCCTGCAATACTACATTCTAACCATTGCGCCACCACCGGTACAGTAGTTAGAATGAAGGGTTGATCCTGGCCACACAAATATTTGTTCCCATGCTGTAGCACTTCCTAGAGCTCAAGATAAAATGCAGGTGCAGAGAAAAAAACCCTAAATTAATATTTAAATTATAAAAATTATCTTTAGTGGCAATGGTATTGATATCTGGTTCAGAAATGAGTACTCTAGAAAAATAAAGTAATATAAATGATTTGGAAGCTTGCCTGTTAATAATGAAAAGGAAGAGGAAGATTATTGAATAGCAGATGTGCTGCAAGAATTTTTCAAACTCTGGATATCCCTCTAAACTTTGTTATCATGTTTATCTAAATGGGAAACAACCCAACAGTTGAAACACAAATATTGTTATTTCGATCTATATGAAAGGTGATGTCAGATTCAACATTTTGCTTGGTGCCTCGCTGGTGTCTTGCCATCAAAGGACTAAGGGGAAGGGATGGGGGACAAATGGACAATAAACCTGTATGTATCTATTGTGGGAATTAGGGAGGGGGAATGACAGCTGAGGATCAACTGTCAACATGGAATCAGTTCGTGCCAGACATCCTCAAGGCCATTTACACTGAGTGAGGAAATTTATCAGCCCAAACACCTCAGCTTTCCCAAAACATCTTGGTGGCTTTCCATTGGCTGGATTTGGACTGGTCAAGGGGGGAGGGATGGGGAAGGAAGGGAATAGTTGATGTGTTGATGTGCAGGAAACTCAGATTCTGCCTGACTTTACTGCAACCAGAAGTAAAAGTACCTTTCACTTCAATTAAAAAAGTGTTGAGGGTTTTTCTTTCCTAAGGAATCAGACTGGGGCAGGTCTGACAGGTGATAACAAAAACTCTTTAAAGTGCAAACCAATTAAACTCCTTCATATTGCTAGTAAATGATACACAAGACTTACATGATTTCAGTTGGGTCATATAGGATAAAATTTTGATTGAAGACAGGATGGGTTTAGACATTTCTTTCAAAATTAGATCACAGTTTAATATAATGTCTTTTCATTTACACTCATGTGATATAGCAATGATGGATATTATATGTTTGCTGATTTTACTTCAGACTATGATGAAATTCCCAAGATATAGGCAAAAATAGCAGGTATAAACATGAGTGGCATGGTGACTTAGTGGTGAAGACCTCTAACTTGGAAGGTTGAGAGTTCAGTCCTAGGTGGTGACAGATGCTCCTCTCTTAAGGAGCAAAGAAAAAATATCTACTGCAAACTCTACATAGGGATCAGGAAGAACATACGGCCAGCTCCATCCAGTTGCCCTGACTTTAACCCAAACTAAGGGCCAAAAAAATCATTTATGCATTTCCAATACCTGAATCTGTGGAGGAAATCTGTTTATTTCTGTGCTATTTCTCAGGAAACAGATGAGCATGATGAGCAGCAAGATAAATGATCTCAGTTACAGGGTCAATGAATACACTAGACCTGAAAGTCCAGTTTAGGAACACAGAGTCATGGAGAAAATCTATTTATGTGGTTGCTAAGACTCATCAGCAGTTTGGTGGAAGATAATCCATCAATAAATCCAGTCCAATCCAATCCAATTCATCCAGTCCGATCCGATCTGATCCGATCCGATCCAATACAATACAATACAATACAATACAATAATCAAAGAAATTTATAATTGCTGGTTCAAATTAATATTGCTAATTTTATGTCCATGTTTCAAAAGAGTCCTGCTACTAAGTCATTTAGAATAATGTTATTACTTATCTTGAACACAATGAAGAAATCCTGAGAGCCATGCAAATGACTATAATGAAACACAATTAAAAGGAAGAGGAGGAACTATCATTTTAATATAGTATTATTTTTATGGGCAAGAGGATTTGATCTGTGCAAGAAATAAATTTTTTAATCATCTTTGGAAAAGTATAGAGACAGGTAAATGATCACTAGAAGTCCTAGATCACTAGAAGATGTCCCTACACAGGGCTCAAAGAAGGCGTGGGCAACCAGCTGTCTACGTATGATGCTAGCACTTAGTTTTTAGCCTCCAGGGATATACAAAGTAAGCAAATAAGAAGATAAGATAAGATAAGATAAGATAAGATAAGATAAGATAAGATAAGATAAGATAAGATAAGATAAGATAAGATAAGATAAGATAACCTTTATTATCATTTTTATACTGTGGGCACAATGGCACACATCAAAAATGAAATTTAGTTGCCCGCTCTCAAAGTGAAACACCTACATGACACACACCTAAACATATTATGAACATATGTATAGACCTACATCCCTACATATACGTAGCAAATAAATATTAAATATTGTCCATCTTGAATATATAATGGAAGGAGGAAGTTTGAGAGTTCGCAAGGTTAATGCTGTATGTAATGAAACTCTGGCTGAATCTGGATGTTCTGCTTTGGATACCACGAAGCCTCCTCCCAGAAGGTAACAAGGAAAACAGGTCATGAAGAGGATGTGTAGTGTCCCAGATAATCTTACAGACCCTGCTCAAGCAGCGCTTCTGTGCTATGTCCTGGATGGGAGGGAAGGAACTGCCAATGATCTTTTCGGCCATTCTCACCACTCTCTGCACCACCTTCCTGTCTGAAGCAGTGATGCCTCCAAACCAGACTGTGATGCTGTATGACAGGATGCTCTCGATTGTCCCCTTGTAGAAAGTGGTCAGGACAGGGGAAGGAAGATGTGCTTTTCTCATGCGGCACAGAAAATGCAGGCGCTATTGTGCCCGCTTCACCAGTTTCTCACTGTTGAGCGACCAAGTCAGCCTACTTGTTAGCTGCACACCCAGGAATTTGATGCTCGTAACCATCACCAGGTGAATCATTTATGCATAGAGAAGTGTGACTGTGCCTGCCTTTTCTGAAATCAACAATGATCTCTTTGGTTTTTCCGGTATTTAAAACTAGGCTGTTTTCCTTACACCAGTTCACCAATCCTTCAACCTCCTTGCGGTAAGCTTCCACCTTGTCATATAAGGCCCACTACTGTTGTATCATCTGCAAACTTCACAATATGGTTGGTGGCAAACCTAGCACAATAGTCATGGGTCAACAGGGTGAACAGCAGCGAACTTAAGACACAGCCCTGAGGAGAACTTGTGCTCAAGAAAATGGTATTAGAGGTATTTGTTCCAACTCGCACATATTGGGGCCTATTGGTAAGAAAATCAAGAATCCAGTTGCACAAAGGAGTGTTTAAGCCTAAAAGGCCCAGTTTGTCTACTAGATGCTGGGGAATGATTGTGTTAAATGCCGAACTGAAGTCGACAAACAGCAAACGCACATGAGTATTTCTTTCCTCTAAGTGCTTCAGGCTCAGATGGAGAACGGAAGAAATAGCATCCTCCATAGAGTGATTTGGTCAGTAGGCAAACTGAAGTGGGTCAAATGCTGGTGGGAGGCTAGATACAATAGTGTTCTTTATCAGCTTCTCAAAGCATTTCATGATGGTGGATGTCAGTGCAACCAGACGGTAATCATTGAGGCCTGTAATTGTGGACTTTTTTGGCACTGGCAAGGTGATGGCTGTCTTAAAACATGATAGGACCACTGCCTGCTGCAATGGGAGGTTGAAAATATCTGTGAGAACACAAGCCAGCTCCCCTGTGCATTCCCTGAGGACATGTCCAGGGATGTTATCTGGGCCTGCTGCTTTCCGAATGTTAACTGTCTGCAGTGTTTTATGGACAGAGGTGACATCAAAGCTTGGCACTTGCTCATCAGGATGTGGCACTGCTTTCCTAGCAGGAGTGCTATTTGATGCCTCAAATCTACCAAAAAATGCATTCAGTTTGTTTCGGAAGTCTGTGTCATCCTTGAATCTCGATGGAGCCACCTTGTAATCCATAATGGCCTGGATCCCTTGCCACATTTGCCTGGTGTTTGTTGGGTCCTGAAAAAAGTTCTGAATTTTCTGGCAATGGGCTTGCTTTGCACCTTTTATGGCACTTTTCAGTTTTGCTCTGGCTGTTCTAAGTGCCAGCATGTCACCAGATTTAAAAGCCACATTACGTGCTTTCAGCATCTTGAGGAACTCATAAGTCAGCCACGGTTTGTAAATTTATTTACAGTATGTTTATTTACGGTATGTTTATTTACAGTATGTAAATAAATATGTAAGGTATGTAAGTAAATAAATAAATAAAAATACATACAGTGGGATATGGATAGACAGAATGACAGATATTTTTGTGCAGCCCTGAGTCACTAATCACAATACATTTTATAAAGTCACTATATAAATATATAAATCTGATAAAGAAAGAGAAATCAGTTAAATTTTAAAAATGATTTTTAAAAAAATTCTAATTGTGAGTGATATAGAGAAAATAATTTTATGGGATATACAATAAAATTATTAGACAAATATTAACCAGTACTCTACAATGCAGACACAAGGAAACAAAAACTGCTCTTCATTTAAAATAGTAAAATAATTGAAAATAATTGAAAAATATTTATAATCCTTTCTTCCTCAGTTGCCTGTTGTTCAACTCTGGTCTCAAAACAATAATGTAGCATTTGGGGAAAAAGATGCATATCAACAGCCCAGCACTTGAGGCTAAAATTGAGAAGATCTCCACAGCCACCGTATATTTCCCCTTGGTGCTCAGGTAGGTTGGAACAAAGGATATCCAAACACTACAGAAAACCAACATACTGAAAGTGATGAACTTGGCTTCATTGAAACTATCAGGTAATTTCCTGGCAAAGAAAGCAACTATGAAACTGATTGTGGCCAGGAAGCCCATAAAACACCTTGCGGAATAAAATAAAATCAAGGACCCTTCCTTACACTGCAGGACAATTTTTCCAGGCTCTGAGTGCAGGTCAGCATCTTGAAGAGGAGGAGAGATGGACAGCCATATAGTTGAAATCCCAACCTGAATTAAGAAGCCTGATAAAACAAAAGCATAGCCCAGTCTTTTCCCCACCCATTGGCTCATCCTGCTTCCTGGCTTAGTTGCCATGAAAGCCAGGACCACAGTCAGAGTTTTGGCCAGCACACAGGAAATAGCCATAGAGAAGATGATACTGAAACTGGTTTGACGGAGAACACATACCACTTTATTGGGCTGACCGATGAATAGTAATATACAAAGAAAGCAGAGCAGAAGGGTGATGAGGAGAATATAGGTGAGATCCCGGTTGCTGGCTTTGACGATGGGAGTGTTGTGATGCATCAAAAATGTCATTAGTACCAGAACTGTGGTTGTGGAACAGAAAAGGGCAAAACAGGCTAAAGTGATTCCCAAAGGTTCTTTATATGACAAAAAACTGATATCTTTGGGAATACATGAATCCTGCTTTTTGTTGGGATAATTTTCATCTGTACAGCTGTAACAATCATTCAAATCTGAAATGGAAAAGATATGGTCTGAGTCTCAAATGTATGCTTAAAACCTAGGAAGAGCATAATTTCTTATATACTGTAGCTAAGTATTACATTTCCAATTAATCCAAACTCAACAATAACAAAAACTTTATATGAACTATCTTTCAATCATAACTAAAACACAGATAGCAATACAATTCAATACACTTGTGCAGATGATTTGAAACAAATACCATTTCTCCAAAAATAAGACCTGGTCTTATATTTTTTTTGCTTCCAAAAGAGACACCAGGCCTTATTTTGGGAAGATGTCTTACCCCTTACCTTAGGACTGCCACAGCCAGGCCTCCCATGCTCCAACACCTGTCACGCCACTGCCCGAGTATTGCCATATCCAATCACACTCCCAATGCCACTAGCAACAGGAAGCCGCATGGCTCGTTGTGCCAATTGCACCACTCCCACCAGTCACAGCAGGAGGCCGCATGGCACATCATGCCAATCATGCCAGTGCCATTGTTCATGGCAGGAGACTGTGATGCTCATAGCGCCGATCCGTCGGTGCCACCATTCATGGCTGGAAGCTATGAGATTTGTCACAATCACAGCACTGCTGCCACTCATGGCAGGAGGCCCTGTGTGCATTGTGCTGATTATGCCAGTGCTGCCACTTGCAGCAGGATGCCACAAAGCTCATCATGCCAATCGTGCGTGTTTGCGTGAGCCTTGTGGCCTTCAGATGCAAGCAGCAGCAGCTGTACGATGAGCCCTATGACCTTCTGCTGTGACTGACGGCAGCGGCACACTGTACCACATGGCATGTGGCTGCAAGCAGCCACAGAAGAACTCAGGCAGCAGTGCGACAGGTGTTGGGGTGTGGGAAACCTGGCTGCAGCAGTCCTAAGGTAAGCGGGTGCAGGGTGCATAGGGCAGCTCCACCCCCTCCCCCACCCTAGCTTGATTTTTATGCATGTGCCTCACCCCAAAAATAGGGCTTATTTTTGCGGTAAGGTTTATATTGGGCACACGTGTAATCAAGCTAGGGCTTATTTTCAAGATAGGTCTTATTTTGGGGAAAACACAGTACTTGTTTTATTTCAATATTTATCAGAAAAAAATATATGCAGAATATATGCATCCTTAAAACTGCAGGGTCTACTTCAAAATACTAAATGTAACTGTGAGTTCTAGTTCTGCCTTAGGCATATTGGCCAGCGGGTGACTGTTGGCCAGTCACTATCTTTCAGTCCAACCCCCCTCACAGAGTTGTGGAGAAAATAAGAGGAGAAAAGAATGTTATGTATGTTCACCACTTTGAATTATTTAAAAGGTAATAAGAGTGGGATAATAATCTAATAAATAAGTAAATAAATTAAATTTTAAAATGAGGCTCTGCCAGATGTAAAAGCTGAATTCAGACTATGAATGGATATTTGTGATCACAGTGCTAGCATCTATTTGTTAAAGTAATAAGCAAGAAATCTCAAAATATATTTATTTTTCTTTCTTGATTATATAAAGTTTGCTTTTACATTGTAAATGTTAGATCCCCCCAAAAAAAAACCCCCAAGAAAAACGTACAGAGCTTTTTCTAAACAATTTCTTTATTATTCCTGGCTCATAAATAAAAATCTTGCCAGATTAAAGCAAACTACTTGCACCATTAATTCAAGGAATCTATTCCTAAAGATGAAAAGAGGGAGTGTGAAATCAAATTAATATTAAAAATAAAAATAATAAAGCTGAGAGTGTGTTAACAGCCAAGGACAACCCAGAAGAATCTGAGCTAGTCACTGTTTGTATATTACTAGCATTAAAAATACAAATTGTTGGTGTCTGTATCCATAAAATAAAGGGATAGCTGCTATTTCAGAGATCTATAGGAAATATAATGAAGCAATAAAATGTAACACTGAAAACAAAACTATGTATGGTCGACACTGTGGTCATCATTGTAACAGTTGCAATATTTTGATTGTGAAACCTGCATATTCAGAAATGCTGAACAAAGAAAATTAATACTGGAAAAAATTGTTGGGAAAACTTTGAATCACAAGAAGAATTTTCCATTCACTACTAGATGAAATAAAACCAGACTGCTCACTGGAAGCAATAACAGCAAAATCATTATAAAATATTTTCAACATATAATGTGAATGCAAGAACCACTGAAGAAGAATCCGATGCATGGAAAAATGGAAAGCAATCAAAAAAGTGAAAAAAGAAAGATGCATTTATATACAACCATGATTAACACAATTATCAGTTTTCAAAAATTCAAGAGAATTAGTTATCAACATACAATCCTTGCAAAATATAATGTTAAGTCATGAAGAATTGGAATTAACTAAGCAAATTTCCATTATCAAAGCTGACATCAGCCAGGGCATAGAAAAACTCAAAGAAACAGTGCAAGATCGGAAGATGTGGAGAGACCTGCCAAGAGTCGGACATGACAAAATGGATCATCATCATCAACATCAAGAAGTTTTCGTACCCTAGATTTTTTAGCATCCCTTCAGAAGCCAGACACCATTCCTAAATACACAGAGTATTAAGAGGAAGATTTACTATTGCAAATCCCAACAGCAAGACAGCAGGAAATAGCTATTAGGGGAGATAGATATGTTACAAATCCCATCTTTTAAGGAGGGCCATCTACTGGGATCAAGAAAAAAGGCCAATCTCCATGGTAAATCCTTCCCTGTGCAACATCATCCTTATGGAAATAAGTTTGGTCCCCACTTACATACTCTTTATAAGGCAGAGAGCTTTGGGCAGAGGGCTTTGGGACCCATGGTTTGGCAGAGGCAGTGGTGGAATTCAGATATGTGAACAACCAGTACTCTGTGAGGATGCTGCTTCTGGAAGTTCATTCTGGGCCTGGGCAACAAAAAATTAGCTGGGTAAGGTGAATTTCCAAGTTGAGCAATCCAAAGTCAATCTGAAGATTAATGATGCCAAATCAAGGGAGAGATGAGGTCAGTGGTGGGATTCAAATATGTGAACAGCTGGTTCTCTGTGTGGATGTCGCTTCCGGAAGTCCATTCTGGGCCTGGGCAACAAAAAATTAGCTACCAGTTCTGCCAAAGTGATGCGAACCGGCTGAATCCCACCACTGGATGAGGTCATGGTTAGTCTACAAACCAGGGTTATAAATATCTAGATTCTAAGTTTCATGATATACAAGCCAGATGCTGGAGTTGTTTCTAGAAGGAGACCAATATTTCTGTGTCTTCTGAATATGCACAACTGTGATCAAACCTTGCCTGGTGAGTTAACATCTTGGTACTTGCTCACAGAGATCCAGGAGGAATTGCTGGGGGGGGGGGCAAGTGAGTATCTGTAGCAGCAGCCTGCATTGCAAGTAAATCAGACTCCAAAGACATGACAGCAAGTGAACATTATTAGACTATCCTTACCTTCTTTCTCAGAAATCTTCCCTTCTGGACATTGGATGCAAGAGTAGCAACAAAATGGCTTCCCCTCTATCATTTGCCTCCAAGAACCTGCACAACATCTTGGTGTACACAGAGAAAGCGGAATTGTCTAATTCATAAACCCAAAGCAAAGGAAGAAAGACATGAATAATTATGCAGCAGGGCATTTATGAACTCTATGTTCTTGGTAACATGACTACCATGAATCTATGCTTTTCCAGTACACCATCATGCTTAGATGGGACAATAATAACAAGTTTTTGTTTTTCAAATATTGAATTTCCTAATCAGTTTAATTAACAATCCTTTCAAAACTGAAAAGAGGAAGATATATTATTGCAAAATACAGTATATAAAGCTGAAAAATATTTTTGATGCTTTTGAGAAGTTTGAGATATTTTTTATTTGATATCTTTAAGATTTTAAATTTTGCAAAGATGATAAGCCAAATTTTAAACATGGCGTTTTTATCATGGCTAATACTGATTTTCTTCCTCTAGTTAACAATCAGTTTAACATTTCCTATTCCAAATAGTTTATTGAATTGCTATCCAATAGAGATAGTGCAGGGTTCAGATGAGCCCTACCTGTTCTCATCATTTTTATTGATAGGACTGAAATTCGGTGCTCACATGCAGATTGCCTGCAACTGCAACCAACCTGATTAAACCATTCATTCCATTTTATGGCATCCTCATTAATGGTGAATGACTGATCTGCAGGGGAGTGTGAATCAATCCTTCCAATTTTTAACTTGGTCTGGTTTTCAGAAAAAATAAGATTAATGATATCAAATCCAGCAATCATCTTCCCTTCCTGATCAAACAATATACTGTCTCCAATACTGTTATTAAATGCAACATATCTCAAAAAATGATGCAGCTGAATGAAAAAGAAAGGACAAATATTGCAGACAAAATTATGTATTATGCAGTTGTCAAAAGAAACTATTTCAATATTGCATCTCTATCATGCAAGTATATAAGAAGGGGAAACATCTGCCTCAGCATTTCCCCTGCACTTGTTAATTAATTAATTCTTAATAACCAAGGATGGAACCATTCATTTTTTAAAAAAAAAATTATAAGAACAGCCTGCACTAAAACCTGCAGTGTTGCTTAGATTGGGTTCTAATAAATCATGACAAAATGACACGGTTAGATTTGGACTGGGATAATCTTAATAAGCTTCTACACATGGTAGAGAGGAAGCTATACAAATTAGGTAAATTGGAATCCATCTACACAGTGGATTTGAAAATAAAGACATTGCATTACTATGGCTAGAGATTTAGGACTTAAGAGTGTAAGGTGCATGATACCTGCCAAAATGGCTGATTGTGAATCCATAGCCCACCATCCATCATTGTTCTGTGTTTGAGCCAAGAGGTAGACATGGCATGTAAAGCATGAGCTATGGCAAAGGCAGCATTGTAGATACTGTAGCTGTAGCCAGACATGGATATTTCGAAAAGGGGGGCAGAGAGTTTATTTATTTTCTCCTGGCCAGTGCAAATGTTCTCCTCTTTGTCATTGGTAAGCGTACCTGGAAATTGACAGTTGAAGACCTGCTCCCAAAAGCCTTTGAAAAAACCATCTCCTTTCGTAGTGAAAGGATTTCGACTCTCAATAAATTGATGGAATTCAGACACATCATTGGAATGAAATGCAAAGCCCAAAGCTCCATGGAAAATTCCTAAATCCCAATACCTTTGAAATCCAAAGGAAGCAATCTCCATTTGGGCTGTGAAGATCCATAACTTTCCTAGGGGTTTCCGATGCTTACTGTCTACATCTTCATCTGACTGATAAGAGAGAAATCTAAAAAATCCAAAGGAATTAGATTCACCAAAAGCAATTATCACTGTAGCCTTAGTAGCTGTCAATGTATGATAAGTCTTCCTCCCTTTATCCAGTAATTCAAAGATATTAGTAATAAAAGTTATGCCAGGGATTTTTTCTATGAATGCAATACAGACACCCTTCTGAGAAAACATGGGTATCACTGTTTGTAGAAGTCTTTCTCCACCATCGGTCTCCATAACCACCATTCCAATCCATATCCATCTGAAATGCAGAAGCAGAGACAAAATCCCTTCATATTGAAGATCTTCCTTTGGAACCATTTGGTAGAAGGGAAGGCCAAGAGATTTGCCCTTCATCACTGGAGTGGGACTATAGGTCAGCTAAAGAGATCCATGAAGAAGAAGAAAATAATTATAGCAGTTATTATCATGTGCCCAGTATGTGTTAAATTCAATCATTAGTATTTTCCATCTGCTAATAATAATATATCATTCTAAATTATATTTGTTCTTTCAATCTGTAGCTTATATATAGATATCATATGTATACATAATAAATATATCATAATAATTAAATAACATTTGAAATTAAACAAAATCTAATTTAAAACCATTTAAAAAAGAGATTAACAGATATTAAACAAAAAAACTACATTTTTTTAATCACAGAGTTTCTGTGGGCTTCAGCTTTTGTCTTCTGTTATTTTGAATGTGTTGTAGAACACTTTATTTTACTTGCTATATTTTGGGATATTGCTGTATGTATATCAAAAATTTCAGACCAATACTCTTCGTTTATTGGATTTATAAATTATATAAATTATTACATTAAATCTATTTAACTTTATTGCATAATTATATAGAATATTGTTACTGTTTTATCTTGTTGATCTAATAATTTTGAAAAAAGGAGCAATCTTTGGCTAATTTTGAACTTCAGTTGAGCTCATTAAAAAAAAAAACAATTAATCATAGCATTTGACTTTCTTATGTTAATGATGGTTATTACTCCATTTCTTCTACTATTTGCTTGTTCATAGCAGGTCTGTATGACCCAATTTCACCCATCTGAGTTCACTTATCACCAGAATGTAAATAGTCACACTTGACCAGACATGTCAAACTCGCGATGTCATGTGACATCATGCAACATATTGGCAATGGAGTAGGTGTGGCTTCTGGATGATGCGTCCGGCCCACGGGCCGACAGTTTGACACCCCTGCTCTTGACCTTTCTATTACAACAGTATCAAGATTTACTTGGTTCTGACATGCAACCTGCTAACACAAATTCTGTCTGTCTGCCTGCCTGTTTTCCTGCCTACCTACCTACCTATCTGCCTACCTACCTATGGTATCTGACTCTGTTTGTTATGGCACTGCTGGACTTAACTTCTTGGAGGAGGATGAAACATCACCAGGGGCATCAAGGAATGATAGTCTTGCAAGAGGTGATTCGAGCATTATTGAAGCCAATAAATCCATTCTGACTGAGGTAGATCCAGCAAGTCCCCAGGACTCCCTGCCTGCACTCATTTATTGCCTGTGAGATTCTAAGGTATTCTGTATAGTCCTACTAGAAGCATTGGTACAGAGAATTATTTATCATCTCCTTACAGATGGACTTTCTTTTGGAAATAATCCAGTGTTATTTCAACTTGCTATATTGCAAATAACTTTGGACCTAGGGGAATGATAATGTTTATGTTTAAAAGAGATAAACAGGGATTTATTCTAACACCTTGCTTTTCAATATTTCAATTATATTTCAAGAATTTCAATGAAGATGGCAAACAGGAGCAGACACATCCTGCATAACTCTTGAGGCCTGTTGGAGATTACTTGTTTGCCTCCAACCAAGGAATCTTGCTGATAAATTGTTAAGCACAGGAAAGATACTGAAGTATTTTCCATCTTCCTCCCCTCGCTTAAATCTATAAGCTGAAGGATCTTCTATCCTCCCTGCCACTTAATGTCCAGTAAGACACCAAAGGACCTGCCATCTTCTGCTCATACCTGAAGGCTGCCACATACCTCTTATTTTCTCTCCAAGCAGCCTGCTAATGTTTCTAAAGAAGGAAAGGGAGGGGGAGGGGGGAAGGGGAGGAGAGGAGGGGGAGGGGGAGGAAAGGAGAAGGAGGAGGAGGGAAAGTGAAAGAGAGGTAGAAGAAAAAGGAGGAGAATTAAAGAACAACAGCAGGATGTGTGTCTCTCTATAACATTTCCTTACACAGTGGCCAATAAAGTAAGAGAAGGAGGGGGACAAGAAAAACGATTAAGAGCAAGCAAAGAAAAATGGCTCTGTTAGATCTAAATCCTTCTGTGAGATGAATGATTACCTTTTTGTGAATAATTTCCTTTCATTTGCTTCTTTATTTCTGCTTTTTTTCTAATACTCTGCTCCATTAATGTCCCTATTGATGTCCCTTTCAGCCCTATGATTCAATGTTCTATGTTCTAATATCTATGTGAATTCAATGGTCACAACCTTCCCCCAGAAACTTAATAACAGACATTTGGTCATACCAATAGAGGAGAATATTTGTAGTTTAAGACGAACATCAGGGCAACAATCAAGAAGCAAACAATATACCATTTAAGGAACTGCAAAACAAGCTAAGAGTAAACAGTCCAACCAAAGAACCCCCAAGATCACTCCCACCAACACTGACAGCACAAGACACTAGAATATAAATTGAGGGCCAACCTCACTCCTTGCAAGCACTGATGATTTACCTAGTTTGGGTAGTAAAACATCTGCAAGAAAACAACCAAGAGAGCACTAAGGATCCCTCATTTGGCCATGCTTCTTTTTGCTAATTACACAGTCATACTTTATCTAAGACAAGGTGGCCCTAAGGTCAATGAACCTTAGCAGATTACTGTACAAAAGAATGACTTAAACTAATATATTCTAAAATTCTGGTTTTCTCAAGGGGACTGATGTGCCACAAACAAGAATGGTGTCAATAATTATATTATAGAACAGGTCAAATCCTTTAAATATCTTGCCACAGTATGGCAAATCTAGCACGAACAAATTAAATTAATATTTAATAAGGCTGACAAGTACTTTAGAAGTCATACTGGTCTTCTTTCATACCAAAAGAGACAAAAGCTCTTTAAAGCTAAATCCATCTGCCTGTTAGATCGCTGCCAATTACATGCATATAATATCATAAAGTCTTTAGATGTCATATACTACAGGTTCCTAAGAGCATATTCAAAGTGCCCTGCTTATCTCAAATCCAGTATATCATTTAAAAATTGGTATAAGCCCTCTGGAATTCAAGATTCACAAATAACAGCTTTATTTCTGGTGCCAACTCTAATTTTTGACTTATTAAATTTTTAAATCTTAATTATTTGAATTTAATGAGGACATTTTTTCACACATAAGACAAATGATCTCTCCTTTATGACTATATTTTAAAATAATGGAAATTCTCCCCCTCTCCCCCCATTTACCTTGAGTATCAACTAAATTGATTCAGAAATATTTAAACTACAAAGATGTATACAGCAAAATGAAGAAACTGTAAAAACATTGTTAACATTCATTGCCATACCTTACCTGGGGAATCTTGTAGATATTCAGGAGAATTGCCATATCAAGAGAAGTAGCAGAATCTAGACCACCAATCACTGCAAGGAGCTTATTCTGCATGTTACAGTTGTAATTTGGGAAAAATCTTTCTAGTGCATATGTAAGAATCATAGTGGAATAAAATGTCCATTTTGTGTCATAATAATTGTCATAAATATGGATTCCCAATGTTATATTGGGTAATATTTGAGGATTTTCATTTATCTCTTTTGCTGCAAAAGCCAATGCCAGGATGTGCTGGTAATTCATTGAAAATATTCTAGAATGAGTATTGCAATGTGTATTAATTAGATAATAGTTTATAATTCTGAAATTTTATCCATATTTTTTTCTTTTCCTATTGTACTCATTCCTATTTAATATAGACATGCCTCTCTAAGAGATATATTTCTCATACTGTAGAATAGCATACATCAAATTCTTATTATTTTATTATATGTAATAATTAATATCTGTAAAAGGTACCTTTCAAAAATAAATGATGGAGAAAAAATGAAATAAAATCAAGCAGAATGAACCCCTTTTGATTGCAAAACTGAAGAGGGTTTAATATTTGGGTGTTGAATACTTGGTTTGTGAACTTATCAGTACTGCATTATAAATCTGAATAAACAAATGTGTCCTGCTACACCTGTAGGGAAGTAAGAAATTTGTCTCAAGAAAAGGGATTAAGAAATTGAATAGGACAAGTAAATGCCCAAGGCAAAGGGAAAAGAATCGTAATGAAAGATATTATGTTCCAAAAATTAGGAGGAGAAATCAAAACTGTGACCTACCCTTGCCAATCCCCTCTGTGTTGAAAAATATTGTATAAATGTTTCAAAACATACAATAGCAGAGGCTTTGGAGCAAATTGTGTTGAACATATATTTCCTCCATAAAACTTTAAAAAAAACAAACAACTAAACCATTTCCTTCTGCACAGGTGAAAATGTAGCAATCAAATTTATGTGTAAATCTAAAAACCACAGCTTTCTACATATCCAAAGTTCCTTTAATTATACTAATAATTATAGGAATGCCTTATAGGAAGATTCCTATAAGGCAGTTTGACAGCCCTCTAAAGATAAAGAAGACAACAAAGAAAAATGAATTCCTTACATAAGTTCCTCAGCCATAGCTGGTGGGGGTTCCTTTATGAAATCTTTGGCATATGAGAGGAAGATTCCATGAGATGTGATGCCACCAATGATGAGGTCTCCAGAATGACGATAGCTGTGAAGTGGGTGTTCTGGATACCATACATTACATTTCACTGTGAGAGCTTCATATGCTATGTATGGAAGCAGAATTAACAAGCGTACTGCTCCTACCAATATCCTGAATTCAGTTAAAATCTCCTCTCTGCTGGTTCTTCTCTCTATCCATAAAGAGGTCATTAGAGTCTCCATTAATTTATATAAGTAGAATGATTTATATTTATTATTATTATTCCCAGATTAAATGAATAAAGTCTTCTGACCAATCTAAATCTCCTAATATTGAATAAAGGGGTTCCTATTTATGGATTTATATTTCTTATTTCTAGACCACCCATCTCTCTCAAACACATATCCCTATCCCTACCTCAAATGCCAAAACTTATATTTATTCAATATTAGACTGACTGTTTTTGAGGGTTGGTATTCGCAATTTTACATCAGCTAATTTAATTATAGATATTATGCTAATTGAATGAGTGGGAGTTGTTTCTTATTCAGAAGTGGAGTACCATGTGGAATATCTATCTATCTATCTATCTATCTATCTATCTATCTATCTATCTATCTATCTATCTATCTATCTATCTATCTATTTGTCAAGACTGAAGGACATTTCTTCTGGTTTTCTTCAATAAGAAATACATTTGATGTTATATATGTTGACAGCAGAAATGGAAGACTACATCAATTCCTACAATGGAGGAATGGTTTCAAAAACTGATGGAGCTAGCAGAGATGATAATGATGATGATAATGATGATGATGATGATAATAGTGATGATGATGATGGTGATGATGATGATGATGATGATGATGATGATAATAATAATAATAATAATAATAATAATAATAATAATAATAATAAGAAGAAGAAGAAGAAGAAGAAGAAGAAGAAGTAGTTGGGAGGGACCTTGGAGGTCATCTAGTCCAACCCCCTGCTCAGGCAGGAAACCCTATACCAGACATGTCAAACACAAGCCCGCAGGCCATATGCAGCCGCCAAGGGCCCAAATTTGGCCCTTGGAGCTGTTCTTGAAATGGCAAGGGACTGGCTCCCGCTGCCCCAACCCTGGCCCACCTCAACCTGGTTGGGCACCCTCCCGGCACACGTACATGAAATAGTGAGTGCTCGGAGGCTGGTGGTGCTCAGGAGCAGCTGCAGTTCATTTGCCTCACCCTGCCACACCCCTCCCCTCCCGGCCTCGCCCGTCACGCCGGCCATGCCCCGCTTTACTGGGCCTCTCCTTGTCCGGCTCCACTTTGCTGTGCCAGGCACCAAAGCGCTGCTGAAAACCGTGGAGTCTGTGTGCGCGCCTGCCTTGCCTGCATCAGCCATGCTCTCCACGGCACAATACAGTTGATCTGAGGCATAGAGAGCATGGCTGGTGAGTTTGTAGCAGGCGCACACACAGACTCCACTCTTTTTGGTGGCCCTTCTTGCTGCTGGGGCTGCTCCTCACCTTCCTCCACACTAGTACCTTCATGCCTTGCTCGCCGGCCTGATTCACAGCCTGCAAGATTTCCCTTTCATTGGGATCACCCCGCCCCCAAGTGGGAAAGCCACAGCCAGTGGCAACGCTGTCAGTCTCTCCCCCTCCCCTCGCCCCTTCCTGAGCATGGAGGAGACAGAATGGGACTTTTAGCCCATGGGGCGTCTGCCTGCCAGCGTGTGATAGGAGATCACAGGGGCTGTCGGGGGGACACGGCAGGTGAACAACAGTGGCGTGTGGTTTCTGGCATGGGGGGGTTGGAAGCAAAACTGCCCTTTCGGCAGGCATAGAGTCAATCCCGGCGTCGGGGCAATGGAGGGGAGGGTGGACTAAAAGGGAAGCCACTGCTCCGTATTTTTTTTAAGCTGCCAGAGGCTCCAATTTTGACCCCTTCCCCTATCATTTCCTCCTGTTCCATGGCTCTCAGCTCACCTCTCCCAGAACCTGCACACATGTTTGTGTGAGTGTGTATGTGTGGGTGGGTGTGCATGCGGGGGGGGGAGTTCTCACCTGCAGCCCCACACTGTGACATTGGGGAGAAAAAGAATGGATGGGATAAGAGAAAATGTGATGGGGGCTTCTTGCAGCCTTTCGCAGGGCTGGGGTTGGGAGCTGAGGGGGACAGGGCGCAATACTATCAGCAGCATGTTGAGAAAAAGAAACAAGTACTCCAAAAATAGCTTTCATTAGTTTGCAGCCTGCTCTTGCAGAAGGTCTCTGTTGAAGGTGTGGGGCTGGAAGGGGTGAGAAAGACACACACACCTTTGCGCGCGCTCACACACACACAGTGCGGGTCCACGCAGAGGCAATGACAGCTTGCTATCTCTTAAATCATTGACCCATGCCTTTAAAATCAACTGCTAGGGAGAAATTAAAACAGGAGTTTTTTATTTGAATTATCCTTCTGAGTTTTCTAAATGTATTTGGGTAACTACTACATGACACAGAACTTGCAGATACTTATTTTTTAAAAAAACAAATTTTATTAGGTTTTTTAATTATTGAAACAAAGTACTCAAGACATCCAAAAACAAAACATATATAGATAGTTCAATCAATACATCAAATATTCCCTCTCTTTGTCCCTCAAGTAGCATAGTATATTTAAAATAATCCAGTTCTAGCTTAAATTTATTCAACCTAGACCTGTTTTAAAGCTTTATAAATTTACGGTACTGTAATCAAATTAACTTTAAATAAAAAGATTATCAATTCAGGTATCCCTTCCAAATATATTCTAGTTCCTTAATTTTATCATAAATCTTATTTATTTCTTCTTCCACTAATATCCCCTATTTACAATAAACTATCAATCTATCCTATACATATCTAATCAGTTAATCAATGTTATTGTTTAAAGTAACACAGTAATATTAAGCTTTAAATCATTTCAGTTCATCAAACAAATTTCAAATTTCATTCAATTAATTATCATACCTTATTACATCTATATTATCATATAAAGGCATCATCCACTAATTTAAAACATTCAATTATTAAAACAATCCAAATCTTAAAAACCACCATTTTTTCCATTCCAATACATAATAATTTTCATCAAAATAAATCTATTATTCCACCCATTACATTCTTAATCTATTTTAAAATATTTATTCTAATAGTCACCCCCCTATTTTTTTTTCTTATTTCTAAGTCTGAGTCTTAATCCTTGAAACAATCCATAAATCAACAGTGCCTTTTAATCCATTACACATCATTTTAAATTTCTCTTTTCAGTCTTATTCTGGCCTTCCTTCTATGCCAAGCAGGTTTACATATCCAAGCTTCCCTTTCCACCAATAAATCTCTCTTTATTGCTTGCAGTGTCCTTTGAAACGATAGGAATCCCATTCTCTGTATTAGGCCTCTGTTTCTCTCATCCTTAGAGCTTCCTTACTTTAAAGTCTCAAGTCTTAATCTTTGGTTCTTCTGATCCTGAAAACTATAAATGACATGTTTATAAGGTGAAATCTCTTTTATCTCAGTTGTTTCTTTTTCTAGTAAGTTTTGATTTGTAGAATGGTCAGATATGGTCTGGAAATCAGTTTGAAGGTTTGAAGTGGAACTTCTGGTTCTTAACTCTGTAGTAAACTCTTTTATTGTAGCACATATTTCTGCAGTGGCTTCATAAATCTTTTCCAATATAAGTTTGCAGTTTAATTGTAACTGAACTTTATCCATATTGATAGTAATTAAAGAGAGTCTCTTTTTTCCTTTTTTTGTCCTTTTTTTGTGGAGGCTGTATTTAATAAAAGTTGAGCAGTATCCACCCCCACAATTCCCACTGGTACCTTTTTTTTTTTTGCACACAGTGGCAGAGGCCTAAAGCAAAAAGGTTTTATAAAACCCAGCTGAAGGCCTAGGACTGGGGCAACAGCGCGGGTGCCCGCAGAGAGAGCCATAGGTTCGCCACCATGGATCTAGGTGATACCAACTTATATTTTGTGATCTATATTATAGCCTTTTCATTAATAATTAAATAAACACATTCACCACATGTATTGATCAAACAATTCACATAAAATCCATAGTAAAAGTCAGTTCCACCAAACCAAGAATTATTAGCAACCCATGGGGCTAATTATTAGCAACCCATGGGAAGCTGAATTGGAAGAAGATGAATGTGGCTTTAAATTGGAGAAAGTAACATCAATAACCCTACATAATGCTGATAATATTACTCTGAAAGCCAAAAATGCAAAAGATCTGTGAGCTCTAGAAATAAAAATCAAAGAGTACAGTGAAAAATTGGGAGTAAAATTTAAAAAGACCAAACTAATGATATAAAATTGACAGTGAAGATATCAAACTGGTAAATATCTTCGACTTTTTAGAATCAAACATTAACAATAAAGAAACATGAACTCAAGAAATATGTGTCAGACTAACACTTGATAGAACAGCCATGAAGGCCGTGGAAATGATATTCAAATGCCATATTGTATTTATACCTATAGGTTCAGAAATGTTTTTTATGACACTTTATGGAAGTGAAAGAATGGATTGTGAAGAAACAGGATAGAAAAAAATATTGATGCTTTTGAAATTTGGTGTTGGAGAAGACTTTTGAGAATGTCATGGACAGTCAAGAAAACAAACAAAAAGATCCTTGAACAAACCAACCTGGAGTTCTCATTTTGAGGTAAATTATAATTTCAAATTATTCTACTTTATACCCATTGCACAAAGATTCTAGCATTCTGGAGAAGGTTCTAATGCCAAGAAAGGTGGAAGGAAAGAGGATGACTTAGTTATCGTGACAATTGGAGAACTTGAAGGAGCAGTTTAGGGATAGATTGTAATGAAGAAAATCTATCTATGTTGTTTCTAAGAGCCAGCATTGATTTTCTGGCAGATGAATTATGTTATTATTGATTTGTGTTGTGAGTTTTTATGTTTTAAAACATAAAACATTTGCCCCTAATTACTTGTTTGAGAAGATCAGCTATATAAATAATATTAAATGAATAAATAACATAATCAGTCAATGGAGTCTGACTTTCACATCAATCTATATCAACCAAGATGACATTAATTCATAGTTTGTCACAACTATTTTATCTCTTTGATTCATAATTAAATTTAGATCTTCATTTCATTACACAAAATGTTCTGATAAAATGTGCTATCAATTAGCAATAGCAATAACACTTAGACTTATATACCACTTCAGTGTCTGTCTTACAGCACTCTCTGAGCAGTTTACAACATCAGCATATCACCTCTAAGACTCTGGATCCTCATTTTACTAACCTCAGAAAGATGGAAGACTGGGTCAACCTTGAGCCGGTCAGAATCAAACTCTTGGATATGGGAAGAGTTAGTCTGCAATACTGTACTCTAACCACTGCACCACCATGCACCAATAAATTTCAGGATTATTCTAATTAAATAGGGGTTCATTCAACAAGGGTATAAAGGAACAAAAATGTGGGACTTTACTTAATATTTAGGGATTATTTCTTTTTTTAAAAAGTCTGAAATATTTTTTAGAAATTATTTCCAATTCTGAAAACAGCCCACTATGTTTTCATTTATGTCTTTGATGTTTCTTATACAATAGTTGATAATAAAACACTCATTTCTTAAAATTTGATCTAGCAATAAATGCAGCCTGTTCAATTCAATATCAGTTTATGTGGCCATCTGAAATTTGGCCTGGGTAATACAGTATCTTCAACATAGTAAGTTCTGTGAAAGATGTAAGTCGGAGTCTGGATGCAGTGGTAAATTGAATTAGAGTTAAAAATGTGCCTGAAACCTGTCAAGACAGTAAAACTCTTAATATATATCTCTTTTATCTTGGAAATAAGGAGCTTATCTGCTTTAGAAAGGATGTGTAAGATTTACAACCATTTTGTCAGTCTAAGAGAAAAGGACTGCATTTTTAAGCTACACTTAATTTACCAGCACTAGCAGTTTTTGGATAGAAACAGTATGACCACAATCTACTAGTAGCTTCAAGACCAAATTATTGCATTGTGCTGTTTGGGGGGCTAACTTTGTGATTGGTATCTGTTCTGAAAACACTGAACTCTAAATCCTTGAAATACCATTCACAGTCCTGTATGACTTAAGACCTGAAAACCCAATTAAATATTTGCTAGATAGTATTTTCTGTCAGCTGGGCCTGGTTTAATTCCATTAACTTTTCCCATCAAAAATAAGTTTTTTTATAAATGTTCAGTGAGAGTTAAAAGACTACCCAATATATATTTGACAAGAACTTGAATCTCACCTGATTAAACCATCTGTGCCATGTTATGGCATCTTCATTAATGGCGAGAATTTGTTCTGAAACAGTCCCAGGATTCAACCACCCAACTTTTGCTCTGTAAAATGATTC